TTTTTTTTCCTTTTTCCCTCCGCGCTGCGGTTGCCGCCGCCGCCGCCGCCGCCATCCTAGAATGTGGGGAGGGTCCGGGGAGCCTGTGGACAGACGGAGATAATTGAGCTCGTACCGGCCTCTTGTTGAGGAGTTCTGTCACCTGCCTTATCAGTGAATTTTGGCATCTTTGAAATTGACAGGGTATGGTGCCAGAACAGAGGGGAGGCGGCTGAAGTTTGCTTATGATTTGGGGGCGGAGATAGGGGTTTTGAATGCACTACGTGGACAAATAGCTTTTGGCGCACTGCCCTTTTCTGGATGCAGGTGATGAGGTTGAGCAATTGCTGGGAGGGCTCCGAACTAGCTGTGCTTGCTTTCTGATCCCGCTGCATGCTAATTTAACACTTGAGGAAAGTCAGGTCATTCCTGAAGCCATGAAATCCATCAGCCATACCTGTGTGGCCACTTACGCAATTAGTGGGGGCTAAGAGTAAAGCTGCCCGTGACGTCATGAAGATGAAATTGTTTTTCACTACTAAAATTCCATCACAGCAACTCCATATTGCTGTAATTCTTACTTCCAGAGGTTGCCATTACAGAAAATAGAGTAATTTGCTTTTTTTCCAGACCAAGGTAGCAAAAAGATAAAATGTAGGTAACTGTTCAGTAGCTCGTGTTAGAAGATCTTTTGGCTTCATTAGTTTGTAAACCTGAAATGCAGTTAAACTTTTTGATGGATTATTTCTTACGTCACACAGAAAATATTGCTAAAATAGCTTGTGTAGCACTAGCTAAAATATGCCAAAAAATTCAAATGTTATCCTTTGAGGAAGGGCGCAGATAGATTAGTTCATGAGAAGAATAATTGACTAAGACAGGCGCCGTTTCTACTTCACTTAAAAAAATAATGAATGTAGTGCACTTTTAATAATATCATAAGGTGAAGAGCATTGAATTATAAGTCAGAAGATCCGTTTTCACCCGCAGTTCCAGAGGGAAATAAAACTGAGTTAGGGCATGGCATACATCCTCTGTCACCCACTTGACTCATTTGGAAAGCATTATTATCTGACCTTTCAACCCTACAAAGGTATTTTTAAGGTAAAAGGAAATCATAGTGCCTACCAAATTGTATTTTTGAACATGCTCTGAAGTATGAGATATTTGAATAGCTTAAAAATTGTTAGCTCTTTTCGTAGAAATTTTTAAAGAATTGGAGGCAATAGACTAAACTACATACCTGTATAGTGGATACATGACGTTAAACGTACCACTTCCATCTTTGAGCAGCTTTGGATCTGGGAGTCAGAGGTCACACAAACATGAAGATAAACACCAATGCAAGGTAACTCCTACTAATTCAGATGAATGCTAATGTGTGGAGTTAATAAATGTTTTAAAATTGTATGCAGAGTTTTTAATTTCACCATGTGCATTTTGTTCTGGTGATACTGTCTGTAGCCATGATTTTTTTTCTAGGTGTTTTAACTTGAAGGAGGTTACGGACCAATGGTGTAGATAATAAGTACTGGACATACTCTGAGTTCAAAAAGGGAATTCTGGGCTGCTATCACCCGGGGCTGTATTATACACAAAAATAGCTACGTCCTTAAAAATAGCTGTTAGTCATTGCAGACCTTATGAATAACTTTAAATCCTAAAACAAAACGAGTTACATGCTAGTATCAGACTTGCCAGCATTGATAAATACACTATGATATGTTTTTTTTTTTTTTGTCAAGGTACCAGCAACGTAAACAACCATTCTCAGTTTAAAGCGGATGGCATAGTTTATTCTGAAGTTAAATATGAGTAACCATGGCCTAGGAACATAGATTTGGGTTACCCCACACTCCAAGTGCCAATGTGGTGATAGTATAATGCATTTTTAAAATGGTTATGGAAGGGAGTTATAAATCGAGGCTCTTTTACAATGTATCAGTAGAGACATCAGATAGGTGGGTTACAGCAAAGTGGGAAAACCTCAGCTATAGACCTCAGATCTCTCTGAGAACACTCTTAGCCTTTTGGCTGGTGGAAGCAGTTGGTTTGTTAAACATTTCAAAAGGTTTTATCTGTTAGTCACAGACTGTTAGGTCAGACAGAGGTGGCCAAAGAATGGCTGCTAAAGGGGCTAAAGATAGCCCAAGAGAAATTGTAATTAGTCCCTGGATCTGCAAAATTCCAAGCCCTCCACAGTCAAGGAGATTCTAATCAGTTAGATCAGCCTTTCTGAAGATATAGTGGAAGGTGGAGCCACTTTACTGGAATTAGTTCCAGTGTTTACAGTATCATTAAATTGGTCCCTTGCCGATGCATATATAATTTATTTATGGCATGTGGAATCAACAGGATGCTATCTTTTACACGAAGTAGTAAATGTTATTCGGGGGGTCTTCCTTTCCATACCATTTAAAGGCCAATTCTAAACAATTCCCTGTAATAGTTAGAATGAAATATATGACATAAGAGATAAGCTGCATTTGAGTTCCTCTTTGTTTCTGTATTCATTAGTTATTCCATGTGTACCCATCTATAGGTATATGTTTTCAAATTAATAAAATTATCTCTAAAGTTGCTTTCAGTTCAGATGCTCTCACCTGATTCTTTGGTCCCAAATTTACCTCCCTAAAACACACACAGGAGTAATCAATGTGCTAGAAACTTAAAAAGCTAGAACGATAAAGCATAATGCCACTTATCAAATACATGCTCTGTGGTGTTGGTACCACCTTTTTTATGCTAGGGCAGCTAGTAATAGAACACTTTTTTAAAAAAAGATTCATTTGTAATTATTTGAATGTGTGTACATGTATATCTGGGTATGTTCATATGAGTGCAGGTGCTCACAGAGGCCGAAGGAGTATCAGAACCCCTGAAGCTAGAGTTAAGTGTGAGTTACCCAGCATGAGTGCTGGGAATTAAACTCGGGTCCTCTGCAGGAGTGGCAAATGCTAATAATGACTGAGCCATCTCTCATGAGAGCCTAGTACTCTGCAGAAAATACTTTAGTTTTTTTCCTCTTACCTGTTTTTTTTTTTTTGTCAGCTTCTACTTCATTTCATCAAGAATTATATAATCTGGTTGGTGGTATTTGTAATAAAATAGCTTCTGATCTACTGTATTTGGAAAACTTACTATCAGTTGAAATAGTGAACTGTCACAAGTTTTCTGTAGTAAGTAGATGAATTCTATTTTAAACTAAAACTTCATATACAGTGAATTCGTTGAATTCTAATGAATTTTGAAAAGCTATAATACAGAAAAGCAGTACAAATATCACATCATACTTTTGTGTACTGCCTTAAAGACAAACTTTTTATATACTTTCTAAATAGATTTCTCTATTAAAATGGGTGACTTAGTAAATGACTGTATAATTTATTGAATAATACTCTATGCCAAATAACCACTAACTTTTTATTCCAAGTTCCTTTTTAAAAATCTTGTAACTTTAATCCTTATCCTCTTTAGAAAGTTAAGAAAATAAAATATTCCCCGAGAACCTTATATTTGGCCTAAGAAATAATATAAAAGTTATCAATTAAATTCCTCTTTTCCTTTACTATAGGTGCCACTATCTAAAAGCTGACAATTATGATTTCAGTTCTTTATATATTGCATCAGACACGTACACACTTAAGGTATATTGATATACTTCATGTATTCAAATGGTATATATGCAGTGTCATTGCTAGTTTTTTCAAAATGTTAGTAATGATTCAATAATGTATTTAAAAATCATTTTCATCTGGGCATGCCTTTAATCCCAGTGCTTGGGAGACAGAGGCAGGAGGATCTCTGTGAGTTCCAGGCCAGCCTGGTCTACAGAGCGAGTTCCAGGACAGACAGACTCCAAAGCAGTACAGAGAAACCCTGTCTCTAAAAACAAACAAACAAAAAACATTTTCATACCTGTGTAGTTTTCCAGTATATTAATATATCACAATTTAATTATTTACTCTTTTAGTGATGGACATTGAAATTAGCTTTTTGTACCACTATGATCATATTTTGAATATATATTCTGTGTAGATTGGCAAACAGTGGGTGATAAATGACTCGGAATAGGGTTGTTGTGTTGGAGAATATATGCACTTTAAAAATTCTTTGGATACAGATATATTATTGGAAAATAATGTTGGTTTATTTCTTTTATAAGCCTGGTTTTAAGACAAATTCTAACTCGATTGTACTAGATTTTTGGTTAGATGCACTTTCATTTTTTAGGATTTCACCATGAGTAGCTTATCTCTTTGTTTATTTGCTTATCAGTTGAATGTTAGGTCTTTATGGCCCTCCTTTGTATACTCTGAGTTTTACTTAATTTTTTAAAATTTTCATATTTTATTGTAGCACTGAAAATTTAACCTAAAGCTTTCAACAGTCTATGCAAGCCCTTTACTTCTGACCTACATATATATAGCCCCTTTTATTAATTTGATTTTGAGAAGGTCTTCCTATGCCATCAAGCCTAGCCTTGGATCTCTATGTAAGTCAGGCAGTTCACCTTTTACTTAAGTTTTCCTTAATTGAATATGAATAAAATGCAAGAATACTTTTAGATTTTTTAAATGTTAACCTGTCTCTAGATTCCGTCATGATTATGAAGCAAATATAATGTATTGCCCATCTATAATGATTGTCAGTGTTGTGTTTAATATTTTTAAATCTTTGCTGATGAGTTAGTCTGGCCTTTATTTAAAGTCTGGTTTCAAGATTAAAGCATGTTCTTTCCTTTTCCTAGTCCTTTGGAAAATTGCTGCATGGTAAGAATTGCTATTTTATTAAATATTTGACAAAATCCTCCAATAATACCATCGCCTCTGTTCTTGTGACATTTAAGTGTGAAAATATTCTAAAGTTTTGCATCAGAAATTCTGAATTATTAAGACTTCTTTAGTTCGTTTCTTCATTGATCTAGTATTATCCATTTTACAAATGTTTTACCAATAGCTTCCAAGTATTTTGACTTAGTGCCCTGTTATATTATTTTGAAGTATCTTTTTAGTTATGTCCCTTTTCCTTATTCTATTTATGCCTCCTCTTTTTTGCTTGATTAGGTACTACACAGCAAATAATGTCAGATTTTACAGGGAAATTAGCTTTGGACATTTTTATCATTTTGTATTTTTGCCCCCCCCTTTGATTTTTTTTGCCCTCTTATGGTCTTTAGGAGCTTATTATATCCTTTTACTGATTTTATGTGGTGAATGTTTACATCATTAGTTTTCAGTCTTCCTTTGTGGCAGAGAGTCTCAATAAACTATATTTCATAAGTCACGTTCCAGTTATTTTGTTGTTACTCAATACTAAATATAGAAGACAGTTTTCCTTTTTAGTTATAGATAACTGTTAAAATTTCAAACACAACTTTTTTTTCCGAGACAGGATTTCTCTGGGAAACAGTCCTGGCTGTCTTGGAACTCACTCTGTAGACCAAGCTAGCCTCGAACTCACAGAGATCCACTTGGCTCTGCCTCCAGAGTGCTGAGATTAAAGGTGTGCACTATTGCCACCTGGCCAAACACAACAACTTAATTTTTTTTTGTCTTAGCTTTAGATTCTTGCAGAAAAGCATGAAGAAAGTAAATATATTAACTACTGAGCTATGTTTTTTATATTTCAGTTTTTGTTTACAGCCCAATGGATAAGTTTTCTATATCTAATATGTTTAAAGTGCATATTTTGAAACTGTTGGGGCAAGATTATCTGTTTTTCTCTATGGCGGTTTTTTTTTCTCTTAAGTTTTTTATTTGGTTACTCTGCAAAATAATGCATTTCATTTTAACATATCAGTACATATATATCATTGTATATTGTTCATATGCTTTCCCATTGGCCTCTCTTTTCTCCTTCTGCCTGTGGCTTCCTTTCTTCCCTTGAATAGTCCCCCTTCTGTTTTCATGTTTTATTTTTATATGGCTAAAACCAAATTACACATGAGTGAAAATGTGCAATTTACCTGTTTCCAATTATTTTTATTCTCCTTTTTAGTTCCCTTTTGACTTTCATGTAATATATATGTGTGTATGTGTTCATGTATATATAACATGCACACAGTTTGCATTTATGCTATAGGTATGTTTCCTATAGCTTTGATTATTAGGTCAGCTTATGAATTTTTATGATGAGCCCTCTTTCTTAATTCCTAATACTTTACTGACTATATTATTTTAATTGATACTAATAAACTCATGGAATAGTGGTTTTTTCCTGTCTTTTGCCATCTTATCGTTCAATGTCTTTGCCTTTTAAAGTCCAGTCTAAAATTTATTTTTAATCCATCGTGATATTTTGAGAATGCTTCTTTTTGTTGAATTTTATTTACTTTTCATTTATTATTTGTGTGTGCGTTATAGTACACATGTAGAAGTCTATAGTCAGTGTTTGGGAGTTCTCTCCTTCTACCTTATAGAGACAAGGTCTTTCTTACTGTTTCTGCTGCACTGTGTATTCCAGCCTAGCTGGCCCCCAAAAAAGTCTTTTCTTCCCATCTCTTAGTAAAAGTTTTGGGATTAATCCCCATACCACCCCATGCAGCTTTTTAAGGTAGGCTCTGGGAATGGAACTCTTTTTTTTAATATGGGTTAGTCTGGGGATAAAACTCAGGTCATCAGGCTTGTTAAGCAAGCACTTTTCCCACTGAGCTATTTGGCCAGATCACATTTGGGGAAAGTTTCTACTTAATGTATAATTTCTTTTTGGCCTTTTATCTCTGGATTCATTACCCTTTTGCTGCTTTCCTTGAGTCTGTAAATGTTTCACACCATTTTCCCCTTAATTACTTTGGAAGTTGCATACTATTTCTTTAGTGGTACCCTTGAAATTTTAACATGCATAGTTAAAGTTAAATTTAATTAATAATGATTTACTTGTTAATGGTACAAAGGTTTTAACATATTCAACTCACCCCATTCTTTGTCTTCGGTGTTTTCTTTTTTTTTCTTTCTTTTTTTTTGGGGGGGGGGTTGAGACAGGGTTTCCCTGTGGCTTTGGAGGCTGTCCTGGAACTAGCTCTTGTGGACCAGGCTGGTCTCGAACTCACAGAGATCCACCTGCCTCTGCCTCCCGAGTGCTGGGATTAAAGGCGTGCGCCACCAACGCCCAGCTGTCTTTGGTGTATTCATCATCTGTTTATGTTCTGCATTCTTAAATTTAAAATTGGATATCACAATTCTCTAATGTAACCAACATTTCCTAGATATAATTCTGTGCTCATCAAACCTTTTGTCAGGTCTACTTTAGTCTCTTGAGAAGCTAAGTTAATTATTGAAATATTCTGTATTTGAGAATTTGCCTACATGGTAAATTGTGGAAAACCAGACATAAATGATGTTTTTATTCCAGAACCTGCCTAAATTAGTAAATATTTTGGACTCCCCCGATGTTCCTATTTCCTACCTAGGAAAGGTAATGAATGCTTGTACTGTAAACCATGTATCTTCTGCACATTTTCTGTATTTGTGTGCCTTCTGTTTGTAATTCTACTATTTAAACTAGTCCCCAACTATAGCCCTGATGTGCTTATTAGTGTTTTTAGTATGAAAAGACTGGGTTGTGCCTTGTAGATAAGATTTATATACATAAGTTTTCAGTCATGAATTATAGTACTCTTAGCTAAGAATTTGATATTAATGAATCCACAATATGTATTAACAAGGAGTTGTTAAAACAGAAATGCACATAAAATAAAGTTAAATATACATCAGTTGGTGAAAAAGTAACACATAGGAACCAAACCCTAGATTCTCTATAGGAGTAATACTTTAGTGTTTGCTATTGGTATTTATGGCAGTTTGATAGACCCACTTTGAATAGTGTATGACCATAAATCCTTTGATACTTAGGAGTTTTGATTGAAAATTCTGCTCTGTTTGGCCATGCAATTTGTAAATTGAACTCTTACTGTGACTCTTTTAAGTCTATTTTAATCTTTTTGATGTTTGGAGGTTTACTATGATGCACCTAGATGTGAATTTATATTTATTTGGGCTGTTTGGAATTTTTATGCCACTTAACTATTTTATTGTGCCCCTCAGTTACAGGATATTCATACATTCTCATTTTAAATGCGATCTTTTACACACTGATTTTTCCCCCCTAACATTCCAGATATTAAAAATTTTTTATTCTTATTTTTTGTTATATGTGTATATGTTTTACCTGCATGCATATCTGTATCCTGCATACATGCCTGTTGTCAATGGAGCCTAAAGGAGGGCATTGAATCCCACGAAACAGGAGTTACAGACAGTTGTGAGCTCCCATGTGGGTGCTGGGAATTGAACCTGTGTCTTCTGGAAGGGCCACCAGTGCTTTTAACCACAGAGCCATCTCTCTAGCCCAAATATTCTAGATAGTATAAGACCATTTTAGTGTACTTCTGTTGCTGTTTCTCTTATTGTAATTCATATCTGTATTCCATTTAGCTAATTTTTTCCTTGGTTTTCTTCAGGTTTCTGTTTTACTGTGCTGATTGGTTTTATTGTCAAAGTGACACAAGCTAGTCATCTGGGAAGAGGGAACATTTGTAGGCAGCTCCCTGAGGCATTGTCTTGATTAATGATTGATGTGGGAAGGTCCAGCCCACCATTTGCAGTGCCATCTCTTGGCTGGTTGCCCCAGGTGATAAGAAGAAAGCAAGCTGAGCAAGCCTTGTGGAGCAAGCTAGTAAGCCCTGTTCCAGCATAGTCTCTGCTTCAGTTCTGCCTCCACATTCTTGCTTTGGGTTCTCTCAATAAGGGCTATTGATAGAGTTTCCCAGAGCCTTCCAGCCACCTTGTCTCTGTAGTCTCCAGTTTGTGCCAGTTATTCAGTTGTTTCTTGCTCTTCGTGACTTTGACACTTGAAAGTCTATAAGAAAGGAGGTTGGTTTTTTAGCAACAATGCAATACTAATGAGGATATATTCTTCTCAAGACATCATTTCAAAGAGTAAATGATATTGGCATGCCTTATTACTGATGACATTAAAATTGAGTAAAATTCTATCTACAAAGCTGCTTCAGAGTAGTTAGTTTTCCTTTGTAATTAATATATCCTCTTGATTTGGGGTGAAAGGCAGTTTAAAAGAAATAGTTTGGCTGGGCGTTGGTGACGCACGCCTTTAATCCCAGCACTCAGGAAGCAGAGGTAGAGGCAGAGGCAGGCGGATCTCTGTGAGTTCAAGGCCAGCCTGGTCTCCAGAGCGAGTGCCAGGATAGGCTCCAAAGCTACACAGAGAAACCCTGTCTCGAAAAACCAAAAAATAAAAAGTTTGTTCCCTTAGAAATTTTGTGATAATTTACTTAAATTATAATAATATCTGATCATTTTTTAACGACTTTAACATCAAGTTTGCAGGTCTTTATGCTGGTAAAATGACTTTTCGACTAGTTAGCCTTAACCTGTACTTTCAGAACACTTATTTAACTTGAAGTTTGCTGCAAAGGAACTTAATAGGAATGCCAAGAAATGTGATAAAGAAGAAAAAGCTGAAAAAGCCAAGATAAAAAAGGTAGAGTGCTTTTAATATTTTTACTTTATTAATTCACAAAAGAAGTACAAATAGATATAGAAAGATAGTTAATTGTATAGTATCTCTTTGGAGAAATCATTATCCTACATAGTCAATAATGCCTTCTTTACTATGCTTAAACTTTTGCTATTTATATGTGCAAATTTAGCTTACAAAATCGTGTAATTCTTGTGTTACTTGCAAAGAAAAACTGTCCTTAGCTAAATTCATTCTTCTTGAGAAAGTCCATGTGTAAAATAGTATTTCTTCTTTTTGCTGATTTTAACGTCCATACTTTCAAAACATTGCATATAATTAATGTGTATAGTGCTTCATATTTGCTAGCAGGAGTCACAGGATACAGCAGGTAGTTTCCCTCAGGGATATAGTAAAAAGGATGAAAAGCAGACTCAGCAAAGATACCTCTAGGGTAGATTTTGGGATCCAGGTTCACAGTTCCAAGTGTCCTTTCTTAGTAGAGTTACATTGGGGGAAGCTTAATTTCTTCAGCTAGTCATAATGCATGTGAAGCATTTCCTAACAGAGAAGCTCTGGACACAGGATTCTGTAGGGAGGGGTTATTAGTCATCAGTTATATTGAGACTTTTTTCCTAGAATATTCTAGATCTCTCAAAGGAAATTATTTATTTGACACAGAATACCACTGTTTGCACAAACAACTCAGGCATAGTGAAATTTTTTATCAATATATATTCATTGGTTTCAACAGACATTTTCAAACAGGTGTATCATGTATTTTGACAGTATTCATGCTACGCCTTTCCTTTCATTTCCCCTCCAACTCCTGTTCATTACCCTCAGATAGTCTCACTTCTACTTCCATGCCCTGTATGCAGTTTTGAATTGTGTATATAAGAGCTAGGATCTGCAAATGAGAGAAAATAGGCTTACACTGAGTCGGACTGATTTCACTTACTATTATACTTTTCAATTGTATGCATTTTTGTTGTGTTTTTATGAGACAGAATTTCTCTGTGTAGCCTTGGCTGTCATGTAACTTACTCTGTAGACCAGACTGGCCTTGAACTCACAGAGATCCACCTGCCTCTGCCTCTGCCTCTGCCTCTGCCATGCTGAGATTAAAGGTGACCACCACCACCTGGCTACACAATTTCATTCTCCTTTATGACTAAATAAATTCCGGTGTGTGTGTGTGTGTGTGTGTGTGTGTGTGTGTGTGTGTGTGTAAAATGAGAATTTTTCCATCTGTTGGTGGATACCTAACCTGATTCAATACCTTGGTGATTGTGAATACTAGTACAGTAAACGTGGGTTGACTGGAGTCCTTTGAGTATATCCACAGGGATTGAGTCGCTGGTTCTTATGTGAGACACCTCCATGTTCATTTCCATAGTGACTCAAATAATTTACATTCCTACCAGCAATATATAAGGGTTCCATTTTCTCCACATCCTCATTAGCATTTAATGGTGTTTAGTTAGTAGCAATTCTGGTCAGCTAAGGTGAAATGTTGAACATTTTTTTTAATTATCTGCACCTTTTAAAAAAAAGTTTTGTCTCTTGAAACCTGTTTGTTCATTTTATTATAACATTTATTGCTTGGATAATAAGCCATTTTTAGAAGTTCTGGATAAGTATTCCTAAATCCAAGTTATTAAGGCCGGTACCAGATTTAGAAGTAAAACTTTTGAAGGATAATATCTTTAAGCATGATATGTTAATTAGTTTTTATACCTATGTATTTACATTATTTTCTTTTTATTGTTTGAGAATTCCTCCACTATCCCCTCCATTATTCCCTCTGAATTTCTTCTGCTTTCTCTTTAAACCCACAAAGTCTACTTGGTGATGCCCTTATGTGCATAAGTATTGGGTTCTCTTCTGGCACATAGCCTCTTGGGCCACATCCCTGAAGAAAACTGATTCTTTGCCAGAAGTCATCAGTTGTGTATAGCTCCACAACTAGAGATGGGACTTTGTGATCCCCTCCCCAATCATGACTGGGAGTTTTTCTTTCTGGATCTTGTGTGGGTATTGTGCATGCAATCAGTAGTTTCTGTGCATTCTTGTGACCCTATCATACCTAGATAGTTCTGTTTCACTGTACTCATCTACCACATCAGGTTCTTTGTCTTTCTGCCCACACTTTCACAACCCTCCTTGAGTGAGGGTGTGTGATACATCATTCTGGCCTGAGCACTTTGTGGTCTCTCATTGTCTTCACACTGACTAGTTGTGGTCTTCAAATTGATCATTACTTTAACTATGTAACTATTTGTTTATGCTGCATTTGTTTAACAAGGCAAAGATGTGTTGCTGTTTCACCTTGTCTGCCTAGGGCACCTGATTGGTCCAATAAAAATCTAAATGGCCAATAGCTAGGCAGTAGAGGACTAGGTGGGGCTGATGGGCAGAGATAATAAATAGGAGAGGGAATGTAGGCTCTGGAGAGAATGAGGGAGAAAGACAGGGGGACACTGGCCTCGTGGCCTTGGAAGCATGGTTAGGAGACAGTCAGGAAGATGCTGAATAAAGAAGAAACTCTAGTTTTGCAGCATGGAACTGAGAGCTCTCTAAAGATGACAAGATGCCTGTGTTTGGTCTTTTGTTGCCCAGCTTCTCTGGCGATGTGGATTGTAGGCTGGTCTTTGCTTTATGTCTAAAATCCATATATGAGTACATACCACTTTTGTCTTTTTGTGACTGGGTTACATCACTCAGGATGGTTTCTTCTAGTTCCATCCATATGCCTGCAAATTTCAAGATTCCATGTTTTTTTTTGTTTTTTGTTTTTTGTTTGTTTTGTTTTGTTTTTGCTGAGTAGTACTCCATTGTGTAAATGTACCACATTTTCTCTATCCATTCTTCAGTTGAGGGGCATCTAGGTTGCTTCCAGGTTCTGGCTATTATAAATAATGCTGCTATGACCATAATTGAACAGATGTCCTTGTTTTATGAATGTGCATCTTTTGGGTATATGACTAAGAGTGTAATTGCTGGATCTTGTGGTAAACTGATTCCCATTTTCCTGAGTAACTGCCATACTGATTTCCAAAGTTTTAAAATAGTTAAGATTTCATTCTGTAAGCCTGACATAGTGGCCCATGCCTTTAATCCCGGCAGAGGAAGGTGGATATCTGTGAGTTCAAGGCCTGCCTGGTCTACAGAGGTAGTTCCAGTACAGCCATGTTTGTTTCACAGAGAAAAGCAGTCTTGAACAAAAAAGATATCAATGTGTAAACATGCCACTTTTTATTTATTCATTCATTTTATGATGAACATGTCAGCTATTTCTAATTTTTTGGCAATTATAATTCTTGTACTATGAGAGTCCTGTTCAGATAGTCCTTTCTTGTATCTGTATATTCAATTGTATTCCTACATTTTCCTCTAACAAATTCAATTTACCTTGCTGGGATCGCAGCATGGGATGAGGTCACTTTCTGGGGACATATGTGAAGTTGAGACAGTAAGAGTTTTTCAGGCTCCAGGCACGGTTGGGTTACAGTGTAGCTATACTTTAATCTATTATTTTAATGTATTATATCTTTAATGTTGTGTTACTTTAGATATTCAGATACTTCATAATTGCACAAATCTCATACTTAAACTGAATTACTTTTGAGCATTTTGACCTTTCTTACTTGAGAGAATTAGAATTAAAAACAGAGAAAGAGATGGAAACAATGTGGACTTTGAATTTAAAGTAAAGAGTGGGACATGAATAGGCTCAAAATGCATGATATACTTGTTTGAACATACCTTGAGACACATCCTTATATATAATGAATATATGCCAATTACTGTCCCTGAACTCTTTGTTCAAACAGTGGTGTTTTGTGTCAAATTTTATGAAAGGATCAATCTTTTCTAAAAATACATGTTCAATTCTTACAAGAAAAGAGAAACATCCAATAGATTTTTATCAAGTATTTTTATATGCTGAGGATTTTAATAAGAATAAATCATGATTTTTTTAAGGTATCAAGACCCAGGCAAGCACAAACATATTAATTGTGTAATATATTCTACATTGAATCATCCTTTATAATTTACCTTTTATTTTCATGTACTTTCTATTCCTATAATCCCTCCTTAATTTTCTGTTCCTCATCCTTCCTTGTTTATATTCTGAGTCTTTTCCAACTCATTGTTCAGATTTTTTACAATTAAAATGTGTCCAAATAATTTTCCATGGAAATTTAAACATAGGTTGTCAGTACACATCTGTATTCCAAAAACGTTTTGTGTACATTAAAATGGGAACTTCTTTTACTATTTTTTGTTTTTGTATATTTGTAGGCATACATATTTGCATGTGTATGCATGTGTGTGTGCATGCAAATGTGTGTGTGCATGTATGTGGAAGTACAAAATTGATGTCAGCAATCATCCTAGATCTCTCTTCTACTTTATTCATTAAGGTAGGGTGTTTCAGTCAAATATTGACATGATTGTGTGTAGCAGAAGTCCGCAAGCATACTGTGTAATCTATACTTTTGATCCATCTTGCACTCCTTTTGTAAATGAAGTTTTATAGGAAATGTTAAATAAAAGAAACACCATAGTTGTTGGTTCACCAAAGATGCTGACACATATTTGCCCTTCAGGAATTAGCTTTATTAAGAATGAGGGCCTTGGAGCTATAGTCAGACCTTAAGGAAGGAGACCATGAAAAATGAACAGTACAATACATTAAAAACAGGGTCTTAAAGGAAAAGAAAGCTTTCCTTTAAAACCTACAGAGAAATTTCCTTTAAAGGGATGGTTGAAAGTAAAAGAGAGGGTGCCTTCATGGACAGGATGATAGGTGGGGGCATGTTCAGAAAAGAGCTTTCAGAGATTTCCCCCAACAAATGGGGAGATGTGAGTTCTACAAGAATATTATTTGATTTAGCAATATTCTGGGATAGCCCACATGGTAAGAATATTGGAGGAGCCAGGTCCTGGGGGAACTATAAATTAGGTGTAAAGCAACCCAACAGAACCACAGAGGAACGTCTTAACTGTCTGTCCCA